TCTGCCGACTCAAACTTGCTGCCATGTCATATGGGGAACAACTACAAATCAGAACATGCTGGAATTACTCCTGCACAAAAAAAGGTCTCTACGAATTATAACTAACGTTCCATGGTTTACATCAACTTTTAAATATTTTAACAAATTAAATATTATATTTGTGTTAAAAATGCATGATTTGAGATAAGTTTTTCTTTATAAAATTACAGTAACAATAAACAACGCACCACTGCTGCAATTATTTAATCTGGAAAATGCCAGCCGTCAGGGCCTCGTATGGACATCAATATATACTTCATACCTTGCCTGTTAACAACCTCGCAAGCAAAACATTACACCGGAAACATCAACAAAACAGTACCTGAAGTCACATTTCATATTTTACTGATGCGACGTTTTCGAATTTTTTTTTATGAATATATGGATTCTCGCTGTACTATTTTTCTGATGTGATCTTACTGTATATTATGTATGTATGATTTTTTTGTGCATCATGATGTCTGCAATTTCATCACCTTGTGTTTTACTTGACTATGTATATATGTATACGTATGCCTATCTTTGTACGTATGTATGTATGCATGCGTGTATGTATGGCGTGTTGCATGTAAACTGTGTTATTATGCTGATTCACCAGTTAAAGTATTTGCGTCATTTTACTCTATTGTTACTTCAACCGGTATATATTTTGTGCGTTTTGTGTCCGCATTATTATTATCATTGTTACTCTACCTATTTGTTGGTTCCAATTTAAATGTTCTGTTATGCTTTGAGTGATTACTTAGTTTGAATTTTATACTGTACTCTATGACAAGTGCTGAATGGCAGGGGCCTGACAAGCTACAACTGCAGATTTTTTCCCTGTCCTCTACACTGCTTTGGAATGAAAATATACGATTATATTATATTATAAAATCACTTCATATTCCCCAGCGGTAAAAACAATGTACGGTTTATTCTTACGTTTCTAACATAAAAGATAGTCCTCCGTTGACTCGGATGGACAACATGTACGACAAGTATTTTAACCCTGACGGGGACAATTTTACTACCCTTTGATGTTTTCAAATAGTGTAATGTGAAGCTGCTCTCCTTGCAGTGTGAAAATATTTTAGTCTGACGGCCCTTCACTTTATGCAAGTGTAACCCTCCCAAGTTCTTACCAGATGTTTGGGGCGCAATAAAACATGAATTGATTTATTGATTTATTTGTAATAAAGAGCAATAATTCCAGAAAGACATATCGCTCAAAATTTCGTAAAAACATGTGATAACACCGTTAAGTATCAGTTCTTAAAATCCTTGGAACCTTGTGTATGCTGGCAACTCGAAGTTGTAATAATCATCATGCCGTTTGCCAGTATGGTCCTGGTACTTCTCGTAACCCCAATCCGCTCTAAGATATCGAATCACTAGGTTCTAAGATAATGTTTGCACCCTTTGTAAATTACAAAAGGGACGGGCAGGGTGGATTACTTCCCCGCAGGTGTTACAATTTAAGAGAAATGTTAAACTCACAGGGTTGAGTGCCTTCAGAGCAAGGGAGTATTTCTGCAGGCATCCAAGCCCTTTTCGTCGATACTCCACGGAATCCTGGAATAAAATGTTACGCAGGAAAAAGTGATGCTGACGTAATAGAGGTTTATTTTTAATTTTCGCAGATGCATAAACACTGCGGCCTTTTCATTGATAGAAAGCTTCGTAGGACGGAGAACGAATAACAAGATATAAATTTAATGCGCTTCCGAAGTGAATAAAAAGTTGTGAACTCACGAAAGAGAAAAGAAGCAACATCATACTGGGTCAGTGCTGCGTTATCTCCGTGTTTATTTGTTTAAATACTGCAATTGCTCATTTCAGTGTGTTTCACACTAAATGGTTTTAACCGAATTCGTCAGTTATTTTACACCAGCACAAAGCGCTCAAAGTACAAAGCATGGGGTACGCATATTTCAGAAAATGACACATTTGAAGAATATAACAATAATATATATCTTATCATACTGTGACGAAGGCATAAGCATTTCAAAAAAATTATCGGTTTTTGCTTTCGTAAGTATCGCGTTTGGCAATAGAGAATTCAGCAATAGCATGCTGTGAGGTGCAATTTACGAAAACACGAATTTAAGGCATGAATGGATTTAATTTTTTACAAGTTACCAACTCTGGTAGACACTCAATCGGGAATTTTAAGAAAGATCGTTCTTATCTACGGATATTTTTCGCTTGATCTCGTCTAGCCACCTGGTAGATATAGCCGGTATAAGAAACGAAAAAAGAAAAAACAACACCAAACACTTTTAACCTGCAAATAGTACATAAAGAGGAGCCAAAATAAGAGTGGGTGACGGTTACGCTGATAACCTAATGTATTCTATTGGTGTGGCAAACACAATTTATTTTTTCGCCCATACTAGAAGTGACGATACTTCAAAATGGCTTCGCCCTTGTGAAAAACATATGTAGCAAAGGTCGGCTACCTATTTTCGCAGCGAGCAGAATCGACGATAATACGGCAGGAAGAGGGCCCGATCGAAGATGGGAGGAGGGGGGGGGGGTGTTGTAGTGAGGGTTGCAAATTAGAGTAATGATTGCCCTAATATTAAAGGTACGTGCGAATTGTCACTCTCAAGACAATTAGCAGTCCACTCCAACCGGTATTACAGAATTAAATTTTTTTCCTGCCGTCGCAATTATGCGGTCACGCAGCGAAAAAAAAGGAAAACTACCAAAGCTTATGTGAACAAAACAAGGGCTGCCAGCTTGTCCAGAGCCCTTTATACTGGGAGATTTTGGCGATATTTTGAAGTACCCAACAGTCTGGCAAGAAATGCATCATAGTCTGACAACATCGCCTCCGAATCCAAAATCGAATGCTAAATAGAAATCCAAATTCTAGTCGTCGGTCCCCGCCATCTTGTGTTTTTTTGGAGCGAGCCAGGCAACTGTCTAAAGCGGCCCCCCGATGTGTTCTCGCGGTTCATGAGCGCATACGCTGTGTTTCTACTCCAACAAATGGGGCGCTGCAGCGGGGTGGGTTTTTGAACACAAGGAATAAAGGTTTCCAGCTGGATCGCTTCCCTGAAGGACAAGGAAAGCGTGCGAGGAGTCGCACCTGGCAAGCGAACGTTCGTCGTGACAAGTGGAAGCCTAACGCAAACTCTCGTCTCTGCGAGGTGAGCTCTCACACTCAGCTGCGTTCACGTTCCACCTCCTGAGCTAATAAAAACTAGGACTAAGACTAAGATATACAGGCGATCTTGCAGAGGATTGCAAAGGGAATATTCAGGCAGTTACAGGCGCGAGCGCATAGACTGACCGGCTGGGAATACGATCGCATGAGACGCGGATTCGAGTTAATTCCCAGCGACGCTTTCGCTGTTGTAATCATTAGTGGGAAAAGGGGCGCGCACCGAAAGATCTTTGGTTCGTGATGTGTACCGAGCAATTGAAGTATGGCCCAACCGCACGCACTCGCGTCGGTGACTCGCACTAGTGCGTGCTCTCAAGCTGCTCGCGAGCTCTTAGAGAGGGAATGCGAACAAGCAATCGCCGTTTTCTTTTTTTTTTTTTGTTGTTTTGTTTTTTCGAGTCTTTGAACCGTAAATCTCCCAACAGATTACATCCGCGCCAGAATTTTGAGGTTTTCGCGATATCTCGCAGCCGCTGATCGTACTCACGAGGTTCTCATTTCTTTGGTCTTGGTTTGTGTTACGCGTTTTTCGCGCACAAAAAGGCACGGGGTTCGTTTAGGGTTAATAAAAAAGATAGAACTCCTTATTACCGCTGATTCGTCTAACCTCAGTGACCCTATAAAACTTAATAATATGAATTGTGCTGGAAAAATTACTCTTTTTTCAAGGTACATTTTGAAGATGACCAGTACGAGAGGAACAGGCAAAATGGCAGGAAACTCAAGCGGTCTGGCATTTCAACATTGTTCTCGCACATGTAGAAGAGAACCAAAAGTCTCCAAGACCTAGACTTAGACGAAGACCCAGCTGATATAGTCCTCATGGAGACACAGCCATGCAGGACATTCGTGCCAATAAACTTTGGCCCCCTTTCAACTAACGGGATTTTTTCCACAGTCAGATTGAGAGATCTGAGATAGTATTTGTCACTGTTCGATTCTAAAGGAGGTCGTCCACTCTGTCTATACCGCTCAGTAAATTTGAGCAATCGTGATGCGTGGTAAACGATTTGTGTCGTCTTCAGCAAATGCGCCTTGGTCCTATTGCCTTTTATCTATATACAATCTTCTGTTGTCTTCCTTCAGTGATCATTCGTGGTGGGTAAATTTTTTCAAAGATTAGTGCTCGCAGTTTAGAGCGCTACCAATGCCACACTTTATTGCATTATCATACAGGCTGCTGCTTTCCGAAGCTGTCGTCAGACATAAGACAGCTTTCTCTCGAGTTCCCTGTCAGCTTGCCTTGTAGCCCAGACTTTAGTAAGTGTTGTAAGTGCAGCTCAAAGCTGACTGTGTTTGATGTTCCTTCGAGCCTAGCCTCTATTGTTACATTTTAGGACCACCCGGCCAGGCCACAAGGTGACCTGCGGACCAAAGTTCTTTCTTGTACAGAACACCCATGCTCCTCAGAAGCTCTGACATCACACATGTTGAATCTGGTTGTCGTGAGTCACACCTTCGGTAAGTTTACTTGAGTATTGCATTATTCCAGAAAATGTGTATGTCTGCGAAAGTTGCGACAAAACTGATTTCCGGAACCTTTTGTGACTCTATTGCAGTCTGCAAACATCGATCACCAGCACCACATGCTCCGCGACGACTAGTATACTGTGCCCTCCAAAAACCATCCCGACAGCGAAGGGGATGACTCCGCAATGGTGCCATGTTCAGCCTACGTTGCGGGCCAGACCTTGGTAGGCATCGTTTTCATTGCCACAGTGCAGACAGCCATGTTTGATGCTTGTTTGACCTTACACTTTGTTTTTGCATGCCATCAGCACGCTGACTCTTTAGTACAGGACGCGCAGGCGGCAGTTCCTTCCGGAATGCTTCGCCCTTGCTCGCCAACCCCGTCGATTCTAGCTCACTGTGAGGCACACCCTTCGGTAAGTGTACCTGAGTACTGCAATAAATTTCAGAAAATCCGTATGTCTGTGAAAGTTGCGACAGAACTGATTGCCGAAAACTTTTGTAGCTCTATTGCAGGCTGCGAACGTCGATCACCAGAAACACACGCTCCGCGACGACTCGGATGCTGTGCTCCCAAACGACCATCGCGACAGAGAAGGGGATGACAGCACAGTAGTATCATATTCAACCTACGCTGCGGACCACTCCTTGGTAGGCATCGTTTTCATTGCCACAGTGCAGACAGCCATGTTTGATGCTTGTTTGACCTTACACTTTGTTTTTGCATGCCATCAGCACGCTGACTCTGTAGTACAGGACGTGCAGGCAGCAGTTCCTTCCGGAATGCTTCGCCCTTGCTCGCCAACCCCGTCGATTCTAGCTCACTGTGAGGCACACCCTTCGGTAAGTGTGCCTGAGTACTGCAATAAATTTCAGAAAATCTGTATGTCTGTGAAAGTTGCGACAGAACTGATTGCCGGAACCTTTTGTAACTCTATTGCAGGCTGCGAACGTCGATCACCAGAACCACACGCTCTAGAGTGATTCTTGTACTGTGCCCCTGAACGGTCATCCCGGCTGCGTGGTAATGTAATCTTCAGCCTACCCTGCAGACCAGACTTTGGTAGGCATCGCTTTAATAACCAGAGTGCAGAAAGTTTACTGAAATAACACTTTAATCACCAGGGTATCTGCCATGCTACAATATTTTCCGAATGCGCTGCTTTTGAGTGTACTATCGCGATACATTCCGATATGAACAACAGATCGCGTTGCTTTTATTACATGCTCCGCCGGACGGGCGGTGGGCCAGCGAAGGTTGGGTACGAGCTTTCTAATCTAATTTTGATACTCCTTGAACAACACTTGGTGTGTAAGCGCTTTGACTTGTCGTGCTGTGGCACTGGGGCCGTCCGCGCTATATAACAGTATATAAGGGTGAACAGATCTCAGCACCGCAGTGCCATGAGTCGGTGCTCACACACCGAGCGATGTTAAAGACATATCAAAACTAAGTAAGAATTGTCGCACCCAACGTTCCCTGGCCCGTCGCCAGGCCACGCAGCACGTACCGAAAGCCACGCGCTCCGCTCCGCCCACCCCACTTTTTGGACGAAATACCAGTTTCTTAAGAAACAAAAACCTGAGTCTTCGCCCATTCCTACAGAACACCAAACCGCTGATCATGACATCAGCGAACACCCATCATTCGGTGGTCCCCAAGGTGGAGAGACGGTTGTGACAATTAAATCTAGATACATAACAGAAGCTTTCTTTGTTCACAACTTAGAACAAGTATGAAAACCCCGACCGAAGACTTCAAAATCAAAGACCACGACCGAAAAAAAATGGAGCTAACAGAACAAACATTTTGTTTTGTTTAGAAATAAAAGAAAGCTTATTTCTTCCCGGAAAGCCCCATAGCGCAAATGGCCAAGTACAGCAAACACCCGTTCTCCCACAATCTAAACATATGTGAGAAAATAAACAAAACCAAAACAAGAGTTTGACAAAACGAAGCCTTTTGAATTTAATTCCCACAGTAATGTCTTGTTCGACGGATTTGAAGACTATGATAGGTAAAGCTCAGACACTCCCAAACTTTGCGAAATATACGGACTTTACACTATTGCCTTCCTTTCTTTGGCAGAAGCATTATGTTCTCCAAACTGCGCAGTAACATGGCTATCCATCTGCGTCACATGCTTGTACGCACGCAGCACAACAACAGCAAGCTCTATAGACGTTCGCAAATATTGTCACGAATGACAAGTGATGAGGCGATAATAAGTGGGGAAACTAAACGTTTAGTGGGGCGAACGTGTGCCCCCCCCCCCCCCCCCCCCCCAAAAAAAAAAAAAAAAAAGGAACAGAATAGAGAAGAGCGTCGCGGGCGTCGAAGTCCGCGCGACAGCAGAGTCGAACGCTGGGGCGAAACTGACTCCGCTTGCCTTGCGGAATCCCTTATGTACCCTCGTGGGTTTCTGAATCGTTCGGCGTAGAACTTTCGGTGAATAGAACATTCGGAACTAGACCAGACTAGAATTCTCTCGAACTTATTAGAAGGCCAAGTTGAAAGAATAAATAAAATGACAGTTCGCTCACTGGAATCGAACCTACACCTTTTGCGCGACAGTCAAGCGCAGTACCCACACGGCCACGCACGCACTTGCTCGCCAACGCGCGTGACATTACTGCCCCCCCCCCCCTTTTTAAAAGCACATCGCCTCAATGAGACGTGCCGAAAAACAAAAAAAGAAAAGCAAAACAAAAATAATGAAAACTACGGAGACTTGTGCAACACGATCCTATCAAGCGTATTACAAAACACAAGTCACAGTCCTATCGATCGTAGTACCGCTTGAGGCGCACGACGTGGACGACTTCCGGTCGTGGAGGGCGGCGTGATGAAGCCCGTGTTCCGTCGGGCATCACCTTGTAGCTCAGGTCCTCGAGTCGACGAAGCACTTTGTGGGGTCTAAAGTAGCGCTTCAAGAGTTTCTCCCTGAGACCCCGGCGGCGAATCGGTGTCCAGACCCACACCCCGTCTCCGGGCTGGAAGTGGACGTCCCGACGACGAAGGCTGTAGCGGCCCGCGCCGGCGCTTCGCTGGTCTTGAATCAGGAGTCGGGCGAGCGGACCGACTTCTTCGGCCCGTTGAGCAACCACCTGGGCGTCGTCGCTCTCATCTTCAGATGGCTCATGGGGCAGCATGGCGTCTAGCATGGTCGTTACCTTCCGACCATGTACCAGCTGAAAATGTGTGAATACAGTGGTCTCTTGAACCGCCGTATTTTAGGCGAATATGACGTAGGGCAACACCTCGTCCCACGTCTGTTTCTCTACTTCGACGTACATAGAGCTCATGTCGGCGATTGTCTTGCTGAGTCGTTCCGTCAGCCTGTTGGTCTGCGGGTGGTAAGGAGTGGTACGAAGATGGCTGGTGTGACTGAGCCGGACGATTTTTTGGGGCATCTGTGCCATGAAAGATGATTCGCGATCTGTAATCGGAACTCCGGGAGCGCCGTGCCGGAGGACGATGGACTCGATGAAAAACTTGCTGACTTCCACAGCAGTCCCCGAAAGAAGGGATTCCGTTTCGGCGTACCGCGTGAAATAATCTATGGCGACGATTATCCAGCGGTTTCCCGACTTTGACGGCGGAAACGGGCCAAGCAAATTCATTCCGACCTGCTGGAACGGTGCGGTCGGGAGAGCAAAAGGCTGCAGGAAACCAGCCAGCTTCGTCGGCGGTTTCGTATGTCGCTCGTACTCGTGGCACGATCCGGTTTAGGGGTGGACGGCTTTGGGGAGCTTTGGCCAGTAATACTTTTCTTGAATGCGGGCCATTGTTGATGACCCGACGTCTGGACACCGAGGTGTCCAGACGTCGGGTCATCGTGACTTCCTCAAAAGATCTCGTCACGAAAGTCAGTTGGAATCACCAGCAACCACTGTGTGTTGTTGTCCCCGAAGCTCTCTTTGTAGAGCACACCTTGTCGAATAGTGAAGGTCAGCAGTACTCGCGAGAAGACACGCGGCACGGTAATTCCGCCCCCTGCCAGGTGCTCGATTAATGCGCGCAGCTCAAGATCGTCCCGCTGACGTCGTGACATTTCGTCGGTGTTCACTGCTCCTAGCAAGCACTCGTCGTCATTGTCGTCGCTGCAGCTGGAACGGATTTTGACGGGGGCTCTGGACAGGCAGTCGGCGTCGCTGTGCAACCGGCCTGACTTCTAGACCACGGTCAACGTTTAACTCTTGTAGTCGGAGACTTCATCGAGCGGGGCGTCCTGACGGGTCCTTGAGGTTTGCAATCCAGCAAAGCGTGTGGTGGTCCGTCACCACGCGGAAGTGGCTCCCGTGCGAGTACAGAGGAAATTTCGTTATTGCCCAGACGACCGCCAGGAATTCTTTCTCAATCGTGGAGTAATTTGTCTAAGCCTTGGACGATTTCTGACTAGCGTAGGCGATGACTCGCTCAATGCCTTCTTGGACTTGGACCAGTTCTGTGACCAGTCCCGAGTTACTTGCGTCCGTGTGAATCTCGGTTTCCGCATCATGATCAAAATTTCCAAGCACAGGAGGAGTCTGGAGTCGTCCTTCCAGCTTGTCGAATGTCTGCTGCTGCTCCTTGGCCCATTCGAACTTCTCGGCGTCTTTTGTGAGGTTTGTGAGCGGTGCAGAAATTTTAACGAAATCCCGAACAAAGCGTCGATGGTAGGCGCAATGTCCAAGGAATCTTCGCACGGCCTTCATGTCTGTTGGCGCTGGAAATGCCGCAACGCCGCGACGCCGCGAGCCTTCTAGGGGTCTGGGCGGACGCCTTTGTTACTTAAAACGTGGCCTAGGAACTTCAGTTCGTCATAGGCGAACCGGCACTTTGACTGTTTGAGTGTGAGTCCGGCGGTTTGAATGGCTTGGAAAACAGCTCGGAGTCGTCGCAAGTGCTCATTGAAGTCACTGGAAAACACTACGACGTCGTCAAGGTAGACAAGACAGCTCTGCCACTTCAACCCTGGCAGTTCCGTGTCCATGACACGCTGGAAAGTTGCCGGCGTTTTGCATAGGCCGAAAGGCATCACCTTCAACCCGTACAAGCCATCTGGCGTGAAGAAAGCTGTCTTCTTTCGGTCCTGTTCGTCGACTTCGATCTGCCAGTAGCCACTCTTTAGGTCCATCGATGAAGAATATCGAGTGTCACACAGCCGGTCTAGCGTTTGATCGATGCGGAGGAGTGGATAGACGTCTTTCTTTGTTACCGCGTTCAGCTGCCTGTAGTCTACGCAGGACCTAAGCGTTCCGTCCTTCTTCCTAACCAGCACGACTGGAGAGGCCCACGGACTGCTTGAAGTCTGGATTACGTCGTCGTTCAGCATTAATTACACTTGCTATTGGATGACCACCCGTTCTTTTATGGAGACTCGGTACGGCGATCGGGGCACAGGGAGTACGTCGACCTCGGTGACGATGCGATGCTTCGCACCCGTGGTTTGGCGCACCATCGACGACGTCGCGAAGCAGTCGCTGTATTCAGCGAGGAGGTCACTCAGCTGCCGTCGTTTCGGGCCTGGAAGCTTGGGGTCAATGTCAAGCTGGGCTCCCGGCGTATTGTCTTGCTGAAGTGGCGATGATTCTTCAGCAATCGCGGCGATTTCGGCGGAGTGCCGAATTTCCTCGATGAGGCCCACAGCGGCGCCTTTTGTGAGGTGTTGCGTTTCCTGTCGGAAGTTTATCACGAGGACCCTTGTGCGCCTATCCTGAAGTTTAGTCACTCCTCTTACGACGCCTACTCCTCTTCCCAGGAGCGATTGAAGGTTGCCTTCCAGAAAAACTTCGCCGCAGGTAACTGCATTGGTCACGACGGGTACGACAACACTT